TCAATTCATACTCTAAACAATAAAAAGCAGTGGCTTTTGTTGTCCAAAAAATATGAGGACAAGCCTATATATATATATATATATATATCTGAAATGATGAAATATGTGAATGGGTGATTGATCATAAAACCAGACACTTATAAAAAAAATTTCTTATTTTTCTTTCTCTTTTTAAATTGCATTAATTTCCCTAAAAAAATAAAATTTTCTTACTTAAAATTTTATTAATTTCCTTAAAAAAAATATATGAATGGGTGATTTTTCTTATTTTAGTTTTTAAATTTTTTCTTATTTTTCTCTTTCTCTTTTTAAATTTCATTAATAAAATTTTCTTGCTTAAAATTTCATTAATTTCTTAAAAAAATATATGAATGGTGATTTTTCTCATTTTATTTTTCTATTTTAGTTTTTAAAATTTTTCTTATTTTTCTCTTTCTCTTTTTAAATTTCATTAATTTCCTTTAAAAAAATAAATTTTTCTTCCTTAAAATTTCATTAATTTTCTTAAAAAAATATAGAACCGAATACTTGTATGGCGTATAATAGCCTTCAATACAAAACTGTATGATGTTGATCACCTACTTTATTTATTCTTGTATATGGAAAAGGAAGGGTAAATATGTCATTTGAATAATCAACCTAAAGTCAAATGAGGGTAAACATGTAATTTTAATCATTAAAAAAATAATTTATTGGGTCAAACTAAAGTCAAAGGGTAAGAATGTCTTTTTACATGTAAAAAGTGGTCTGACACACTTGTCAACTAACTTTTGGGGTTTGAGTGAAAAACGGAACAAACGTTTGTAATATGAGTGATAGTTATTTTCGAAAGATATTTTAGACTGATATTTGGCCAAATTTCTGGGAGTGTCAGTGAAATTATCCCTTTTTTTTTTTTTTTTACTTAATTATGTCTTTTTTTTTTTTTACTCAATTATATTTGAATTTACAAATAACCATTTTAAGTATATTTTGTGCACAGTACCCTGGACTTTGTTACATTTTGTCTTAAAATTCCATACCTAGATCATAATGCTATTTCTTATTGAATTACTTTTAATCATTTTTTATTACAATACATTATGTAAAAAATTTATATTAATTTGATTAGATATCCTCCATTACATTTGCATAAATTTATCTGTAATGACCTGAACTCGTAGGTTCGAATCGTTAGCTGAGTTCTTAACCGAACCCGAGGTCAATTAGGGACAACACCATTCTTTCCTACGTCAATACATATTATATGTGTCATTCCGGGTTTATAAAAAAAATAAGTAATAATAAATAAATAAATAATAATAATAAAATGAGATTATAGTTATAAAATATGTCAAAACGGTCTACTGACCCATCGAACCCTGTGGAGGAGCGTTGTCCGCCACTTGCCATCCGTGTCCTGAAAAATGTTAAATGTAATGGGGTGAGCAAATTGCTCAGTAGGTAGCGCCTAAGACCCACCTATTGTAACCCCGTGAATCAAAACAATGAGTAAGACAATAGGGAATGGGGTAATACAAAGCCGAGAAAAATTACAATATATATTTTCAAGTCCAAAACAAAAGAATGTCGTGCCATGAGTGCAATGTCATGCATGTCACTTTCCATTTTTCAGAAAACTTCCATCATTTCACAAACTGTTAATATAACCCGCCCTTTGGTGACTCCGTAGTGACACGAGAGAAGGATTGGCTACTGTCCCTGACCTTTGGTACCTTCGCAACGTCATTTGGAGCCCAGATAGCTCAACCACGTTAGGGCAATCTCCCTAGTTCCCTTTAGGCTATATTAACACACCGGCCTTTTGGTGACTCCGCGACGACCGGGTTTTCTCAAAATCGTTTCATCAAATTCTCCCAAAAAATCCCCTTTTTCATTCTTATCAAATCATTGTACCATTTTTCATGCCCATGCTATGAATGTATATCACATGTCTTTTTAATACTATGGAAATGGAGAGAATTATTATCACACAATTAACATACTTCCACATAAAATTTCTAATAATTTATTAAGCATCGTAGGCATGGAAAAATTAACATTTTAAGCATACTTTACAATAATTCTTAGAAAATTTTCATAAACTTTCATGTATCATTTCTAACAATTTTGTCAATACAATAACATATAGAAATCAATAATGAAGCATGACAAGTAATTCTAAGGAAATTTCCTTAAGCTTCTATATATCATTTCTAGCCAATTCAACGACATAATAAGCATGAAAATTAATATTTAAACATACTTTCTATATAAATCCAACAATACACCTAATAACATGCTTCACATATCCGAGTAAATCAATTTAAAAAAAAAACAATCAACTCAAATTAAACATACTTAACATGGATTATAGTAGAAAATTCACAAAGGTGCAAGAAAAATGGGAATTAGAGACCCTTATCTCAATCTAAGCCAAAAGCTCCAATTTGTGCCTTAGATCCCAACTTTCCTAGAGTGCACCAAACACAAAATTGCTCCGATCAACTTAAAGATCTCGTCATGGGCCTCAATTTGCCACAAACGGCTTCTAAAAATTCCAAGGATTGGTGGAGAAATCAAGCTCTAAAGCTTTGATTGAAAAAGAAAAAGAAAAAGTAAAGTAAAGAGCAGAGAGAGAAAACCAGCGGGGAGAAGAGAGAATGGAGACCAAAGATGGTCTCATGGCATTAAGTTTGATATTGGTGGGTCCCACCAGTTTTATTTTATTTTTTCTTTTCCTTTTTGTTTTTAATTTACACTACACACACACATAATTACACATATCGTGCAAATGGACTCAATCAAAATACCAGCATGCAACAATTCGGTAGCAGTCCCACACGGGACCGTCTGACCTGAAAAATTAAAAAAAACAAAAATGAACATCCTTATATTTCAAAGAGTCCTGGACTCAATGCAAATGCCCCAATCAACTCTCAGATATAACCAGCACACTCTACGGTATTAGTTCGCACAACGTGAAAAGACAAAAATGCCCTTGCATGAACGAAAAATTCCAGAAAAAAATAGAAAATGGAAAAATTCAGAAATATTACATTATCTTTAATTCTTGAAATTAGTTGCTTAAATAAAAATATTAAGCAATTTTTTTAAAAACAAATTAAGTAGTTTCTTAGTTTTTCATGAATATATTGTATGATAAAGAAGGTATTTTTTTTATTTAAACAATTTATTAATTTTTTTTACTAATATATTATATGAAAAAGGAAATATTTTTTACCGTAAAAAAGTTTAAACTGAGTATAATAAGTTTTATTATAAAAATAACTAGTTTTAATAATAAGTTAATCATTTTAAAGTTATAGTTAGAATTTTATTTATTTATTTATTTTTCATTTTTATGATAAATTGATACTAATATAAAATTAAGGTACATATAGTATAGACAAGGTCAGCCCTGAGATTCCCAAAATTTTGAAAAGACCTAGACGAACTTTCAAATACGAGACCTTTGAAAGTTTGAGGCTTGTGTCCAATTTGAGGCACTTCCAAATTGGAGGCCCTAGGCAACCGCCTGGGCCGCCTATGCCTAGGGCCAGTGCGGGGTATAGTTAACATTTAGATAAGAGAAAAGCAGGGGCGGAGTCAGGATTGCAAAGTAGGGGGCTAAAAATAATTAAACCCATGATTGCTTAGTGTGTCATCCATACTCTAAATACAGAATTCTCATGCATCAGTCATTCAATTAAACCTAATAATTTACAACCTTCTAACACATTTACACTCCCAAACTCAAACGTATTTTCACAGTCAAGAATCCATTGAAGTCTACTTCATACAAATATTAAAACAAACACCTGCAATAATACAAAATATATATGTTCCTTATTAACAAATTCACATTAGAAAGAAAAACCTATGTGCTCCGCCCCTTACTAGTTATTAATCCATTATATAGTAAATTACAAGAAATCATCAAGTCATAAACACAACCCTTTTTTTTAAAATTTTTTTTACAAAAATAAAAATTAATATTTTACTAGATTAACAATAATAATCTATGATATCCCTTCACCTATATCTTAATGCTTTACACACGAAGAGTTTAGGTATTCTTCCATAGACTAACAATGTATTTGATTTACTGGGTTGACCCTATTATGTTTTATTGTGGTTTATTTTGTGATTGAGCATGTCTATGGTTTGTAGACTTTCTCATATTGTAAATTTTATAACTCCTTTTATTTATAGAAATGCTATGGATTGGGCTGGACTGATAGGAAGAGGAAGAGTCTGATAGGCAGAGGAAGAGTAGTTTATGAGCTTATAGAAACAATAGTACTAAATTTTTTTTTTCAATTGGACCTGGGCTATAGCCCAGGTTAGCCCATTACTAGTTTCTTCCTTGGAGAAAAGATAATAAAAATAATTTAATAAGAAATGAGGAAAAGGTAAAACAATCTTTTGGATAAGTGTTTTTTTTAATTGCAACAAATTAATAATTTAGGGCGGACAATTTACAGTTCAAGCCAAACAAGTTCGCACAAGTTGATGAATTACCAGTGGGTTACCTGTGGCTCTAGACTCGCACCTTGTTAACCAGTCTGTGTGGTCCAAAAGCAGAAGGCTTCAGTACTTTTAAGGTCCATCTCCATGGTTCAAAAACAGGGGCTGAGGCTCATCCTTGTTGACTAGTGACAACCATAAAAGTACCAATACTGGTACTAAAAGATTGCGCCAAGCTGACATAAAAATGTTGTAACCTAAACCATACAAAAACAAGGAGCTCTTATATTAATGTCTGTATACAAGATCAAAGGATGAAGTTATGAACTTAATCATTTCAATCATACACGGGCGGAGCTGGGGGTGGGCTAGCAGGGGCCTGGCCCCCCCAAAAAAAAAATTTTTTTTATTAGTATATACAAAAAAAAAAAAAAATTTATTAGTAAAATTTAGTATACTGGGCCTCTGGTCCCCTCAACATTAGGGTACCCATCAGTCCTTCACTCCATCAGTTTGCCCAGTTGCCCTTTTTTTTGAGCTGAGAAGTGAGAAGAGCTAGAGCGAGAGTCTACAGCGATTGATTACCCGAAGAATCGAGAGCTGCGAGAGCGAGAGTCTACAGATCTCGAAGGATCGAGGCTGCCAATTGCCGAAGGCCCGAAGCTCAAGCTGCTCAACCCCCAGTTCCGCCCCTGCTCAAGCCTCAAGGTCTCACACTCTCACCTATCTATTGCCCTCTTTAAAAATTTTTTTTTTTTGTAAAGTTTGGTGCTCACTGCTCATGTTCTTGATTTGTTCACAACTTCACATAATCTGATAATGATAATCACATGGTCCACATGGAACAAAAGATATAGTAAAATGGAATCCAACCAAACAATACGGCCTTTTAGTTGTATTTTTTATTTTTTTAACTCTAATTTTCGTACAAATTATTTTTGAACTGACCTGGTGGTTCAGAACCAGTGGGTTCTAAGCATTGTAAATTGTAATACATTATTCGGCAGTGAACAAAAAAACAACTAAACCTTAGTCCTTATATATTCTGAAAAATTATTAACATTTTTCAGAAAAAAAAAAAAACAAAGTGAAATATAAAATAAAAAAAAATTTGAAGAATATCTTCATATCAGATAATATAAGAATCATCTTATTATAATGTTTTTTTTTTTTTTGCCATTAAAGGCTTAAAGCAGATTAGTAGGGGAAATGATGGTCCACATGGAACAAATGTTCATTTGGGTAAATTTGTGATGCATGATGATCTGCATCTACTTGATTACATTGAAAATTAATCTTATATTTTGTTACCTTGACCTTTAGGAGTTTAGCATAATAAAAAAAAAAAAAAAAAATTGAAGAATATCTTCATATAAGATAATATAAGAATCATTTTATTATAATTATTTTTACTCAATTATGCTTATTAGGAATTTAGGATCGATGGTTTAAATTACAATGTAAAATCCTATGTATTAAAAATTTATACTTGAATTACCCTCTTTAGGTACAGTGTTATACGATGGTGAAGCCAAAAAGAACTATTGACGCTTTTTTTTCAAAAAAATGACGTGCCTTCTGTCGCTTCCGCCTCTAATGTTGATGTTTCGGTTCATGATAACCAGCATCCTCCAAAATCTCCAAGAGTTGAACATACAAAAGTTGATCCTATCTTTTTAGAACGTGATCCAGGATTACGTCGTCAAATATGGGATTATTCTGTTGACAAACGTGATGAAGTTCGACGAGCTTATATCAAAGCGAAACCATACCAAATTGTGCTTTCAGTATATCCGCTTTCTGGATCGGAAAAGCATCGTCATCGATTTCAATCATCTTGGTTTAAATTATTTCCTACCTGGTTAGAGTATTCTCCTTCAAGGATGCTGCATATTGCTTACCTTGCTTTCTTTTTGGAGCGAAACCAACGGGATGTCCCGGAACCAATGCATTTATTAATGAAGGATTTCGAAGTTGGAAGAAAGTTAATGATGGCAATAGGTGTGCTTTCTTAAATCATGTGGGAGGAAGTCCATGTTTTGCTCATAGCATTGCTGAGAGAGCATGTAAGGACTTAATGAATCAACGTTGTCATATTGATACAGTGATGGTAAGACAAACTTCCGAACAAGTTTTAAATAATCGATTGAGATTGAAGGTCATAATTGATGCGGTTCGATGGCTTACTTATCAAGCTTGTGTTTTTAGAGGGCATGATGAATCCCTTCAATCAAGTAATCGAGGCAATTTTATTGAAATGGTAAAGGCTTTTGCGTCATATAATGATGATGTCGCTAGAATTGTTCTTGAAAATGCTCCAAAAAATGCCAAGTATACCTCGCCACAAATTCAAATGGAGATTTTGCATATTCTTTCTAGAAAAGTGAGAAGTAAGATTCGTAAAGATATCGGCGATGTCAAGTTTTGTATTCTTGTTGATGAAGTTCGTGATAAATCTAAAAAAGAGCAAATGGCTCTTGTTTTAAGATACGTTGATAAGGATGGTTTTTTACAAGAATGTTTCTTTGATCTTGTGCATGTCAAAGATACAATTTCATTGAATTTAAAAAAGGATCTTTGTGCGGTTCTTTCTCACTATAATCTTGATGTTCACAATCTCCGAGGTCAAGGTTATGATGGTGCTAGCAATATGCGTGGTGAATGGAATGGTTTGCAAGCATTATTTCTTAATGATTGTCCTTATGCATATTATGTGCATTGCTTAGCTCACTGACTACAACTAGCATTAGTTGCCGCATCTAGAGAAGTAATCGTTGTCCATCAATTCTTTTCAAACTTGAACTTCATTATCAATAACATCGGAGCTTCTTGCAAACGAACTGATGAATTACATTCTGCTCAAGTTATGGAAATTGCCCATTTGATAGATCTTGATGAACTTGAAACCGGCCGAGGAGCTAATCAGATTGGTAACTTGCAACGACATGGAGATCATAGTTGTTAAAGGCTCAAGGCGCACAAAAGTGCAAAGGCCTCCTGGAGCCTGAGGCGCAAGGCGCAAGGCGAGGCGCGCGCCCGACTGAAGCAAGGCGCACATTGAAAAAAAAAAAAAAAATCTATATATAAAGATGCAAAAGTCAACTAAATCAATTACTTAAGTTCAATATTCAACATAATGATACCAAAGCCAACTAAATCAAGTACTTGAGTTCAACAGTAAATAATTATACATATTAATATAAAGATGCAAAAGTCAACTAATGAGAATTATGAGATAAAACTAAAACAAACATAGACAACAAAATACTAGGCATCTTTTAAAATACAAACTACATTCAAATTGAAGATAACAAAATAAATTCATGTCAATTATTGGTGTTGTAACAAAATAAACCAGATTTCAATTAGCAAAAAAAACCAGATTTTAATTAGCAAAACCAGATTTCATGTCAATTAGCAAAACCAGATTTCAATTTCAAAGCAATATTAACATTTCAATTTAAAAAAAAAAAAAAATATAGAGTTGCAGTCCAATTCCAAACTTCCAGTTCAGTTCATAAAAAAAAAAAATGTCTGCAGTCCAGTTCCAAAACCAAATTTCAATTTCAAAGCAATATTAACATTTCAATTTAAAAAAAAAAAATACAGAGCTGCAGTCTAATTCCAAACTTCCAGTTCAGTTCATAAAAAAAGAGAAAGAAAAGAAGACACAGAGCTGCAATCCAATTCCAAACTTCCAGTTCAGTTCATAAAAAAAAAGAAAAAAGAAAAGAAGACACAGAGCTGCAGTCCAATTCCAAACTTCCAGTTCAGTTCAAAAAAGAAAAGAAAAGACTGTGCACAAAGAAAGTTTGCTATAAAGAAGAGAGAGAAAAGAAGAAGAAGAAGAAGAATCTGCAGAAGAAGAGAAAAGAATCTGCCGAAGAAGAGAGAAAAAAAAAGAGAGAGGAAAAAAAAGGGAGAAGAAGAAGAAGAAGAAGAGAGAAAAAAAGAGAGAAGAATCTGTAGAAGAAGAAAGAAGAATCTGCCGAAGAGAGAGAAAAGAAGAGAGAAGGAGGAGAGAGAAAAGAAGAGAGAGAAGAAGAAAGAGAAGAAGAAAAGAACAGTGACTTACCTGGATTCGGATCGTGATTCGTGAGAGAAAGTCGGCAGATTCAGATCGTGTCTTTGCTTCAAGCCTTCAAATCGCGCCTTTGTCTTTCTCTTTGCTTCAAAGTTTCTCTGGCCGATTCACTTCACTTTTCCACTTTCCTTTTGCTTTTATTTTATTCTTTTCTTTTAGTAAAGTTGTCTAAAAAGTATAATAAACAAATAATAAATAATAAACAAACAGCAAATAATAAACTAATAACAAAATACTAACAAATAAAAGGAGGCGCGCTTTTTTTACGCCCGAGGCCTCTCGCCTCTTATGTAAAGGCGCACGCCTTATGTATACAAAGGCGCATGACTTGCTCCTGTAGGTGCCTTGCGCCTCGGGCAAGCGCCTTCGGCGCTTTTAACAACTATGATGGAGATACTTGTTGGAGCTCCCATTTTGATTCTGTTTGTAGTTTGATAAGATTATTTGGTCCAACATGTTCAGTTCTTAACAACCACATTGAAGATGGAGGTAATTACAATATCCGGCGAGATGCTGATACTGCTTTTAATACTCTTAGATCATTTCAGTTTGTGTTTATTTTGCATTTGATAAAAGATATTATGGGAGTAAGTAATATCCTTTGTCAAGCTTTGCAACAAAAAGATCAAGACATCGTAAATGCTATGCAATTGGTTTAAAGTACAAAACAAATCATTTTGAAATTGAGAGAAAATGGTTGGAACAAGTTACTTGATATTGTTAAATCATTTTGTGAATGCCACAACATTGATGTACCTGATTTGAGTGTTCCTTATACCAAAAAAATTAAGGGTCAGTCACGTCACCCACAAGAGAATATTACACTTGAGCACCACTATTGAATTGATATATTTTATGGCACAAATAATTCACAATTGCAGGAGTTGAATAACAGATTTAGTGAAAAGGCAATGAAACTTGTTACTCTCAGCTCAGCTTTGGATCCTAGAGATGGTTACAAGTTCTTTAACGTTGAAAACATTTGCACACTTGTAGATGAATTTTATCCTCAAGATTTCATGGACCAAGAGAGGATTATGTTGACATTCCAATTGCAACATTATGAGGTTGAAATGCCTGTTCATTCATATTTGAAAAATATGTCAACGATTTTTGAACTATGTAGAGGTTTAGTGGAACCAAAGAAGTCAAAAATCTACTTTTTGATTGATAGGTTGATTCGTCTTGTCTTGACTCTTCCCGTTTCCACGGCAACTAGAGAAAGGGCATTTTCAACTATGAAACTTCTCAAAATACAACTGTGCAACAGGATGGAGGATGAGTTTCTTGCAGATTACTTGAGTGTCAGTATTGAAAAAGAAATTGCTGAGACTTTTAGTACAGATTCAATTATAGATGATTTTTCTTCTCTAAAAGATCGTCGAGCTCAGCTTTTGTAGTAGTTGTTTGGTCTTTCAGGTTTCTTTTTGTATTTATCTATGTCATATTTGACTAAATATAGGCCAATTATTGTTTTGTAAACAAATTGATCAAATTTTGGCTAAATATATTTTTGTATGTATCTAATCGATCATGAAGTACTTTTGACTTAAAATATTATTATATTAGTAAAACTGTTAATACTCCGCCCCCCTTACAATGAATCCTGGCTCCGCCCTTGATCATACACATCTGTAACTCTGTATTTCATTTCTATTAGGCTACATCATTTCAATTATAGAATCTAGTAACTTATTGCTCCTTAGTTTGATTTATGCAAGGACAGCCCAAATTTTTTATCACAGAAAAATTCCAACTTGATTGAAGTACTTTCAAATTCATTAAACAAAGTTGCCAAATATATCAATTCTGAAAGTCTACCGATCTCTTCAAGTATGCATTGAACAAAACAAATGGCTCATTTATTTGATGAATCCAAGGGAATAGTTCTCATTCGGAGATAAAATAGCACTAAGTTCAGGTTCGCTCCTAGTTGTTAGCTTTGTAAGAATGCCTATGTGATGTTTGACAAAATGATAAGTTGAAAATACATGTTGAAGTTGAACAAGGAAGTATGATTAGGAATTGTTATTGTTATTCAATTTGACGCCATTAGTATATTGTTTATGTGGAAATTGATTTGGTTGATGGGGTTGTATCTAAAAAAAAGGTTTTTTTTTTTTTTTTTTTTTTTTTTTTTTTTTTTTTTTTTTTTTTTTTGACTTAAGTCCCGTTATTTTGTATAAATTAGAGATTGATCATACTTCTAAATATTACTAATGTAAGGTTAACGTTAAGAATGCGTCTTTTTATAAAAAAATTCCCAAACTACTCCAAATTTGTTTTCTACCAAACTATAATAGAATCAGAGACCACCTCCACCTCTGTTTTCCCTCTGCTTTGTCTCTCCCCTTCTATCAGTTACAACGGTCGCGGACGATTGTTCTTTGTAATTAAGCACATTTTACATTTAGGTAAGCTTTTTTTCAATTTTTTCTCTGGAACGCAATCATGCGGGCTAGTGTTTTTATCTAACAAAAAAGTTGAAGCTTTATTGATATTTGTTCATATCTTCATATCATAATTCACATGGATTATATACAAAAAAAAAAAAAATCACATAATTCTACACTCATTGTAAGGAACGTTTTCACTATAATTCCATTAGGGATTTAAAACCCATATTGAAGAAAAATATCAAATCCTATACAAAATGATAGGACTTGGTCCAAAAAACGCAAAAATAAGGCAGGAGGGATATGTAAGTTGTTTTTACAAAAAAACAATGGATTTATTTATTTATTATTATTATTTTTTGCCCATTGGCAAAGAAACTACTCTCACATTGCTCATTTGAATGCTCCAACCTCACCATCCCATTTTAGTGCCTCTACGGGCAACTCTAATGGACTGCTATTTTCAAAATATAGCATTTGGGTTTAAAATGGGCTCTCTAATGATATGTCAAATAGGCTGCTAAAATATAACTTTGTCAAATGTTATACCAAATATAGCACAACATATAACTATTGTCAAATCTGTAATTGCTCCCTTCCTTCTCTCTTCTTTCTCGCATGGGTTGCCAATTTGGTGTTGTGCTTGTATATATATATATATATATGTAAGTTGTGCTTGTGTATATATATATATCTCAGTGTTGTGTGTATATATATGTATATGTCTGTTGTGTGTATATATATGTCTGTTGTGATATATGTCAGTGTTTTCATTTATTTATTTTTAATAAAACAAATAAGATAAATAAAATACAGACACATACACACAAAAAAAAGAAAAAAAAAGAAAAAAAAAAAACAAAAAAACAAAGAGGTTGTTGTGTCAAAAAATAGCATTTTGGATAAAATGTACCTCTCAACGTATTTTGACACTATAGCCCCTCTCAACGTACAAATTTGGCATGCAAAAATGGCATTTTGCATTGAAAATGGTCTAATAACTTGTTTGGATTGACTTTTTTCCTCTCACTGTAGAGGTTTCCCCCTCTCACTGTAGCGGGTTCTCTGTGTATCAGAGTTGGTTCTTCTTGTCCACTATGTTGGCTTCCCTGAAAAATCTAACAATTGGTTCGGTAGGTGGTCGGCTAGGTTGGCCTTTTGTGTCTTGTGGGTTTTTGGATTAAGTGTTTTTACCGACAGTTAGCAAACCGACCAATTTTCACTGCTTTTCCCCTTTGATCCCGGTATTATGTCAGTTTACTTAGTTTCCCTCTTAGTTTTGATTATGTTTATGGTTTGTTTTGGGTTCTGTCAAGTCATGATGTTGATCTGGGTCTCCATATCGGGTTCATCACTTCTACGAGCTGAGGTCATAGCCATGGAAATTGGGGACTGGTTGGGTGTTGCAGATTTTCGTCTTACGGCCTGTACGCCCTTGGTGACTCCATCTTTACTCTTTTGTGGTGTTTTGGAGCGTCCGGTTTGGGTTCTGGGTCTACTTCCGGCGTGTCCACTATCCTGTTGGTTGAGGGTGTATCAGTTGTTGGGGATGAAGTTGGGGAGAGGTTTAGGGCTTTTGCGCGTTGATTGGGTCTCTGCAGCTTGGTTGATGCTTCCTCTGTCTACGACGATCAACGTTGCGTTTCTTCCGGCTGCCATAGACTATGGGTCGTGGCAGGGTGATGCCGGAATGCTTTGTCATGTTTGTAAAAAGCTGATGCGTGGATTTTGTACTGATAGTTGTAATCCCAGTTGGTTTTATGTTGCAGAGGATTTTTATGATGATGGAGGCTCGTCGGCGTTCCCTTGTTCTTCTCCGATTGTTTGCTGTGCGCCCTGTTGTTCTTAGTTCTTGTGCTGTTCAGTTGGTTGTCAACTGGTGGATCCCAAGGTAATGATTCGGCTGAGTGAGCGTAATGTCACAGGCTTAGAGTTTCAGCACCACTCTAGCTGCTCCCGTGCGGCACCAAGACGTTGCTTTCACTCTCGCAAGTACTTGGTCAGCCTAACTCCCGTGCACACCTTAGCCAACACACTTCCCTCGTGCGCTTACTAGTGTTGTAGTTGCCCTCGCCCTCTCCTCACTTGGCTTGCACACTCACACACACTAAGGCACTTAAGTTGGCAAGGAAAGAACACTTCTATTACTTCAAAGAATGCTTTGTACAAGGCTAACACTCAAGCTCTCTACAAGGCTCTCAAGACTCACTCTAGGACTTGTTCCCTACAAAATGAAGTCCTACCTCTATTTATAGGCATCCCCATCCCTAATGGACGGCTAGGATGCATTCTAACCAACGGTGGAGATTGATTATCTAGAATCTTCTCCCACCTTCTTCACACTTCCATACTTATCTACTAGTATCTACAACATTCTAGAATTCTCCATACTACTCCACACAACTCTAGAGAACTCTAGAACCTTCCACACACTTCTACACATTTCTACACATATCTAGAATCTTCCACATAACTCTAGACTATTCCGGAAGACTCTAGAAACTCCACTTGCCATGCAGTTGCTATGCAGCGTCCTCCTCAGCGTCTGCGTGTCGCCTGCGTGGCACAACCTCCATAGGCGGGGCGTGACATTCTCCCCCACCCATTTCCGTGACGCCCTCATCACGGTTTCTTCAGCTGACCCAGCCTCTCGCAGGTCATCAGCACTTGCGCATATGTCCTTGGCCCAAACGTACGAGCGCCCTTCGGGAGATGTGAAGTCCTCACGAGCTCCATCGTGTTGACTGCCACCTCCGGACTCTCCTTCCTGCCCACGAGCTGCACCATGCATGCGGCCTTGCCTTCCTCGCCTCCAAGTATCATCAACGCACCAAGGCATGGTAGTGGCGCGGCGTTGTTCCTGTCCATGAACTCCAGCCCCAGCACCATGTCGTGGTCGTCCATCTCCGCAACTTGGAAGTTAGCCTTGCCCTTCCATCCTTGCATGCATAGCTCCACCTCCTTGCACACTCTACTCACGCGTGCCTCCTCGGAGTTGACGGCCTTGATCCAGCCCTCCGTCTTGCGCATCTCCAAGCCAAGTCGTTGCGCCTCCTCCGGGGTAATGAAGTTGTGTGTAGTACCCGTGTCTACCAACGCTTGCACGGCTTTGCCACCAACCTGCGCATCCACATAGCGCACCCCAGCTACCTTCTTTGCCTTGCCCTTCTTCTTGGTGTCATGCGCCATGCTACTCAGCATCTGCATAGCCCCCATGCACCTATCTTCATCGCTGCCCACATCGTCCACCCTGCCCTTGCCCTTATCCTTCATAAGGGCGCTCATGGTCTTCTTGTTGGGGCAGTGTCGCAATATGTGCGGCCCTTCGCACAAGTAGCACTTCGGCTCCCACTTGCCCTTATTGCGGCGCTCCCCTTTGCCACTTGCCTTAGACCTCTCTCCATGGTCCTTGCCCTTATCATGGCGTGGGCGTCTCTCCTCATCGCTGTGCTCATCATCATTAGACTTGGGCGAGCCCCGTTTCTTGAAGCGCCGGTCTCCCCCACCTTTGCCGTGGTCCCTCCTGGGAGACGTGGCCCTCTTGTCATCGCGCCTAAAGTCTTCGAGGCGCTCCGCTATAGCCATTGCGGATGCCAAGTCTCTAGGCTCCCTCCTCCTTAGCTCCGTGGCCACCCAAGACTGCAGCCCATCAATGAACAAGCACACACGTTGCCGCTCCGGCATCTCTGGGATCTCCAGCATCAAGTTGGAGTACTCCTTCACATACTCCCTTATGCTGCCCTTCTGCTTCAGGCGCCTTAGGTTGATCATGGCGAGGTCCTCAGCGCACTCAGGGTAGAACTGCCTCTTGAGCTGCCTCTTGAACTCCTCCCATGTATCAACTGCTCTTGCGCCCCTACCGGTGAAGCGCTGTCTCCACCATAGAGCGGCAGTGTCCGTGAGGTACATAGTGCCTGTCTGCACCTTCTCCTCATCATCCTCGATCTCCATGCACTCGAAGTACCGCTCCATGTGCCAGAAGAAGTTGTCAATCTGGCGCGCATTCCTTGCCCCATCGTACTCCTTGGGCTCCGACGCCTTCTTCTTCCTTGGCTTCACCACGACCTCGCGCGCCTGGGAGAACTCCTTCTTGCACTCGGCAATCTCCACGCGCAAGTCGTCTACCTGATCATACAAGTCCCTTTGC